GAAACAGTTTGTCACAGCCCCTCGTTTGTTGTCCTCTTCTCCCTCTCTGCCTACGGTTTACCGGGCAGTTCTATTTGACGATATATATATGTATATATATATATATGTATATATATATATATATATATGTATCTATCTCTCTATCTCTCGTGAAGCATTTACCGCCGTGCACGTCGACGTGGGCTCGCGTTTTCAGGAGGATCACATTGTCGTAGTTCAAAACCTCGAATAATTGTATTTGGCCATCGTTCCCGCATTGCGTCTTGGAACTCATCTGGCAATCTCTGTCGGAAAACGACGAACCCGCACAGCCAAGAAAAAACGACATATGCATTGTAACGATTCTGCTTGGGTTCGAGATTAGCACGACCAATAAGCAGATTCATGCACTGTTGCAGATGCTCATCGAGGCCAGCAAAAGTCACAGCCTCCTCCAAAAGCGCTACGGGTCCCGGCCACTGGCTCATAATCTCAGCGACTGTCAGCTCCTCGTCGCGGAAAGGATCAGTATCTGTCTCATTTCCAAATACCACTGCGTCGGCCCGCACGCCAGCCCTGCGTCGTCGACGGTCCATGTATGGGAAAGGGTGAATATTGTTCTGTCGCTTATGTGTGATTTTTGTGAAATCTACAAAACAGAACGTTACAGACACCGATTACCTTAGTATTGTACCTAGTGTACCTCCACATAACGAAAACGAAAACAAATTTAAGAACGCAAAGCAGACAATTTTTTTTTTTTTACTGAAAACATATAACAAACACATGGGAGATAGGACTTGCATATGTATAAAGAGAGAATATACAATCATTGAAACCATCATTTTCTCTCTCTCCAACAACGAAGAAACTAAGAAAAAAAATAACAAATGACACTCATCGTTGGGTCGCACTGCAAGGATAAAACATGGCAGAGAAATCCTCGCCATTAGATACAAAATAGGGCGGTGACACGACCAGGCGCCATACGCCGTCCCGAGCAACCGTCCCGTAGTGTGTGTATAGTATACGATGCACAAGGGGGAATACGATATCATACATGAAATCACCGTCGACCGGTTTGAGATCAAAGGTACGGAAGTACGTGGTTGGCTTAGACATTAGGACACGAACGTGTTCGATGGTGTGGTCGCGAATATAAGTTTCTGTAGTGAGTCTAACGACTCGTTCCTCCTCCACGCTGACAACGAAATGACGATCCACCTTCTTGTATCTATTGCGGTATCCCGTTGCATCACCGACAGGATCTCTTACGGGAGTCATTGATTCGTAATAGTATACGGTGTCACCGCCCGTCAGTTTTGTGGTGTGGTAACATCGGACAATCATTGGCGCGCAATGCATCGTCTCTTCTTTCGTATGACATTCAAAAAATGCTGCAATTCACAGAAACCGACACCATAAGTTATGAACCTAACGATCGAGCAACGAATAACGCGAACATGATATTCTGCATGTACCGCATGGGGAGAGGGAACACACTTTAAACATATGTATGGGATGAGCGGGTAGTCGCGGTCTCGAACACTGTCGAATGTTAAAAACCTTTACGATTTTGTGAGTCAACCCACCTATTTCAGACTAAGCATGAGACGACCGGGATGATGGTTCGTTGACACTTTGGTACTGTTGTCGGCAACCGTCCATTGGCATCACAGTGCGCACATCTCCGTGGAGAAAAGTACGGCGTTGCAGCGGTCTGTCGAGTTTCAAGAAATACCATGCGTTGGGTGCTAACCTTTCCACATGCTCGACCGCAACGACTGTGACGATGCACCTTAGCAAATGACCAATCATATCGAAGTCGGGGGGTTCGCAGGCGCTAGGAATGACATCCGAAAGTTTTTTTGCGTGCATTACAACCTCATCAAGGCGACCATGGTCGTCGTACCCCAGCTCTGCCACGACCCTCAAAGAGAGGGTGTCATCGATGAACGCGTAGTACACACGTGTTTTCATGGCGACAACCCCTTCCCAGTGTTCAAAGTCTCTTTCGTTTTCAGTATCGTGCTCACACACTGTCTCCCTCACAACGATTTCCTTTCCATCCACAACCTCTTTCACAACAACAACAACGTCGGCCATGTTGTGTCGCAAGGTTGAATAAGTGAACCTAGCAATTACGAATAGTCTCAATTGTTAGCCGACGACACTGCGAAAGATGACGGCAACACAATGCGTACGATAAGCGACGGACACAATGAGTCCAGTCTCTTGGCTGTCAAAAATAAATATTCATAATTACGAACAGTAGTACGCTGGTTGGTTAGTTGGGTGGTTAGGTGGGCGGTTTGGTGGTTAGGTGGGCGGTTTGGTGGTTTGATGGGTTGGTTGGTTGGTTGGTTAGGTGGTTGGGTGGGTGGTTGGGTGGTTAGGTTGTTGCGTGGTTGGGTGGGTGGTTGGTTGGTTGTGGGGTTAGGTGGGTGGTTGGGTGGATGGGGGGTTAGGACGGACGGTTGGTTGGTTGGCCGGTTGGATGGTCGGGCTCCAAAACATGGGGTTGTTGAGTGGTCGGTCGGGTGGTGGGATGACGGTTATTGGGTGGTGGATAGTTGGGTGGATGTGGTGGTTGGGAGGGTCGTACATTTGGGTATTATGTTTGGGTGAGTGCGTTTGTGGATTGCTTTATTGGTTGGGTGGTGAGTGGGTGGGTGGTGGGATGGCAGGTTGGTGGGTGGGTGGGCGGTTTGGTGGGTGGATGGTTATGTGGGTGGTGTGGGACGTGTTATGTGGGTGCTGGATTTTGTTTTGGGTTTTTTTATTCAACCAAAATATATATATATATATATATATATATATATATATATATATATATATATATA